TAAAAGAGAAAAGCATTATCATTGACTTACAATTTAATTAGTTGTAATTTACTGTTAAATCAACTTAGTGGAAGATAGAAAAATCATGGATAATTACAATTCTTCATTCATGATCTGATCTATTTCGGTAAATAATAAAACTACCACAACTTTGAAATTCTTTAAACCAAATACTTGAAATGTTTGTAAGTATTTAACAAAGATTGACTATTTTCCTTTTTCCATTTAGATTTCTGTAGTATTTTCTGCAGAATCTTTCCAAAATATACTAAAAAAATAGATCTCCTGTTTCTTCTGAGACACAATTCTCCAGTATTTTTAATATTTGTTTCAATTTGATGAGCAACTTTGTTTACTCATCTTTTAACATTAAGAGTCAAACTGTTGTGCTCAGCAGTCTATATATAAAAGGTAACCATTTCAGTCCATTTCAATTCATTTTAAGAGAAAACAACCAAAAAGAATTACTATAAAAATCAAGCAATAAGAGGCACAGGAAGTGGGCTTTGCTTTGATTAAAAGAGCAAGGTGTAGAATAAAGGCCAGTTAAAGTGTTGTGTCCATATGGCCCAGAAGCCCCGAGGCTGCTGGCCTACACTGGGGGCCTCGGCACTCTTCTGTCTCCATGGGACCCCAGCTGGTGAAAGAAACCCCATTTACTTTCCCCATGCAGTCTCAGTCGCCATTATGGACCTTGGCTGTGGCTCAGCTCCTCTCTGCCATAATTAACAGCACCAAAGCCACAACAATTACAGCCCTGCACCATGCCTACCCCGTGAATCAAAGAACAAGCTGATGGGAATGAAACAGAGTGAGCCATAAGAAACTCGAGATGACTGCTGTTCTTTCAAATGGAATAAAAAGTAAAATCGTTGTGCTCCAAGCCCACAATCATTACCCTGTAATTAGTTTGCACAAAGCTCCCGGTTAAATGGCAAAATACGGTAATTAACACATGACAGAAAATCAAAGGCTACTTTGTAAGCATATGAGAAATAAGAGCCAGGGGCTCAGAAACTGTACAGATTGTATCTGAAGTAAATAAATGGTTTAGCACCGATTAGGTACATTTTATTTGTTTTAAATATAAATATGCCCATGATTATATCAGAATTCATACTTTGAAACCAAATGCTTTAGTAATATAAATGGCTCAAACCTATTCAATGGCTGTAGAATTTAGCTTTATAGAATAAATAAATCAAGCATCTGCTACGCACAACGATTATAAGGTTTAAAGATATATATTTAAAAGTAGTTCTAAGCAGGCTAGGCATTTTATTCCTTTAGGATATGTCGATACACTCACTGTAAATCTTTAGGAAATTCTGTGATTACATATTTTTGATCACGCAGTTTAATTAATTTTGATCATTTCTTGTTTTTGCAAAACAAAAAAATTATGAGAGGACAAAAATCAACACTGATCAAATTTAATTAACTATTAAATATGATGCTTTTATTAGGAAGAAAATAATTTTGTGTTTCACTCCTACTCCTAAGTTCAAAGATAGATAATAAAGGAGACTGCATGCCTTCAGTGCTTTAGTGACCAGTTTCAGTCTTGTCTTTTCATAAATTTTACAAATGTCCAGTTTTATATTTTTATTTGCTAACCCTTTTCCTCACTAATGTCTGTTAACTATATGATATTTTGGTATTTGTGGTTTAATTGTACAAGATAAATGTCACATAATTTATAGATAAGACTTTGAAATTATTTATCATGATATGTAATTTTTTTTACATCACCAAGGAATTTCTTCTCAGAAATTTCTGAGAAGAAATTTCTTTATCTTGTACACAATAAAGATAAGATGAAAAAAAGTACTTTAACAAAGTACACTTTTTAGAGCCACAATAGAAAACTTTTTCACCAATTGCCATTTTAAACTAATATTAACTGCACTATAATGTAACTATGATCAAACAACAAGATTGTAAAGGTTTGATCTGATTGTGTAGTTCTGAGTATCTGAGTGCTTTGAGAGAATGTTTGTTGTGAATTGTAGTAATATAAATAAAATGAACTGAATTATGATTTGAGGCCATTTTAATTATAAATATAACAATTTCTCTTTTGTGTGAAGAAATGCAAAGGTCATAAACACGGTATAAACATTAACCAGCATTATTAGCAGTAAGTGGTCTGTTATTTTATGGCAAGGAGATACAGACATAACCAAGCGAGCACCATTTTTACCTGAACCCATGTTGAGTGCCACAGATCAGAACCAAAATACTGGTAGCGCTGCAGGGCCCAGCTGTAGCACCCAAGGTGGCAAACGTCACAGTATGCTGCATCACGGCCTCCTCGCTGCACGTTGATCTTAAAGAGCCAGCGCTGAATGTGAATATTTTGAGCAATAAGTTCGGCCAGTGTTTCATAAAGCTAAACCAAAAGAAATATTTTTTTTTTATTATTTGTCTGTGATAGTGGGCACATGGGGGCTTGTAACTGTGCTTTTGGTGCCATACCTGGTTAAGTGCGTACACATCTCCTTTTCCAGGGGGTATTTCCAGTCCTGCTTCAGAAAATATCCTTCTTCCTCCAGACTTGGTGCCGTGGAGTTGTGAAACAGCCGGTTCTGGACCCAAGATTGGCACACGCAGCTCATCAGCCACTTCCAGGTCATCCTCATGGCCAACTCCACCCACTATATAGGCCTGCTTCCCCTGTATTTGTCGTTTGATTTGCTTCAGGGTGCCCGGACTGTACTTCAGCAGTGTAGACAGACACATGTTGCGGGTCTAAAGCAAAGGAAATGAGAGATACAGGCTACAGTCAATTGCTATCAGGGTATCTTCCAAGGGTTGTTCCTCAGCCTGATTTATCATTGTGTACATTCAATAGGTCTATTATTGAAACAGCCAGCAGGGTTTTGACCTCTCATGTATTTCAGCAGGTTGGATTGATAAAACCAGCCTGCGGAAAACCTTGCCTATCCTTCACTTCTTTAATGTGTGCTACCAACGAGCTCCTTGGGAATACAACTAATTACTTCACATCTGTATTTATTTGATCCACGTGGAATTATCCCTTCTGTCACTAGCAGAATGCGCTGCCAGCCACGGGTAGGAGTGATTCATCTCAGCAACACGTCTGGCACAGTTTAACAACAAAACAGTGGGAAAATCAATAAAAAGAAATGAGGAAGGCTACGTCATGTTGCGTGTTCGGTCTAAAACATTTTGGAAAGAACAGTTGAATGCCGAAACACTTTAGAGTTGCAAAATTATTTTTTTGGGGAGTGTTTAGGTGAGAAACAGTCCAAGAAAGGCAGCAGAAGTTTAATTATTTCGTGAAAACCATCTATAGACTATTACAAATGTTTTAATTAAGCTCAACATAATCGACTTTAGTGTGTTTACAAAAGATAAAACAGAAGTTTAATTTTAAATGCACTGAAAAACATTAAACAGCTGCTCTCTCAGGACAGCTGCATAGTAACAGCCACCTCTAGTACCCCCTAGAGGACACTACACAAACTGCAAATGACTGTAGCACTCTGTGGTGGAGTGCAGTGGCATGCAGGATATACACCTTGAACTTTTTCCTATTTTGGTTATGTTAGAGGCGAAAACCTCAATGCAGCATCGAGGTTTTCGGCTCTAGCATAACTGGGATTTAATGGGATTTTGTGCGACAAACCAGACACAAAGCAGGGCATAATTGGATATTTGGCAGGTTGAAAGGAGAGTGCCTGCAAGCATCCATTTTCAAGTCTGCCTCTGACTCTAAACTAGATTTATGTCTAACATTTGAGGCATGAATGTACTTTGATTAAAACTATTCCGTTCTTCAGAGTCATTGTCCTTCTGGAAACTACAGCTCTGCTTTTGTAGCCTTGTGGCAAACTATAAACAGGTCTTTTTTAAAATCTTTTATTAACAGTAATCCCCTTCTTCCAAAAAAGGTCAATTGAGGAATCCACAACTAATGACTTTCCTTTCAATGGATTATCTCACCTATGATGTATGTCTATGCAGCTCCGCCAGAGCAACAATGGGTATCTTGGCTGCCTCTCTGATTACCACTCTCCTTATCTGACTTGTCAGTTTAGATAGATGGCTATTTTTTGATAGATCTGCAGTTGTACCATACTCTCTAATTTCAGATGACGGCTTGAACAGACTTCTGTGAGACGTTAAAGGTTTGGGATATTTTTTTTTTTTTAATGCTATCTCTGCTTTAGATTTCTCCACAATGTTCTCCCTGACCTCACTGCTACGTTTCTTGATCTTCATGATATTGTTTTTCCACTAATGTTCTCTTACAAATGTCTGGAGGACTTCATAGAACAGCTGAATTTACACTGACATTCAAAGTAATACAGATAAATGCAGTTTTGAAATCAGTTCGTTACTCTGGATTTTTTTGGGAGGAGTTGAATGAAAATGCATGCAAGACTTTTCAAATTTATATTTCTTCTTTTTTTTTTACTTTTCATGCACCAGTTTATGTTGGTTATTCACATAAATTACACCAAAAGTACTAAAGTTTAGAGTTGCAAAGTGACAAAAATTTAAAAGTTCAAGAGTTTTTAATAATTTTCCAAAGGACTTCTGTCTAATACTGCTGTAGCAACTTTTGCTAGACCATTGCAAATGCATTGTCATATTAGTCATATATAAACACACAGGTGAGAATGATCAACCTTACAGGGAAATGATCCACAGCCTCGGGTGTTAGGATAAGAAACCGTTTGTTGCAGGGCAAGTCCTGGTTGGTGCTGCTGTCAGCCCCATTCCTTCTCAGAAAATTGTCGTAATACTGCAGGATGTCTTCTCCCAGATGCATTGGGCATATGTAGATCACCTCCACATTTTCATCTGGAATCAAAAAAGGGGGTTTTTACAAATTAAATATTTAAACAAGGTGAGTGAGCTCTCAATAAACGTCTCTACCTCTAATATCACACAGCCTGGTGATTTGGATGTTCTGGAGGATGTCATATTTCCTGGTGCTCAGTCTCCAGCTCTGGGAGAACCCTGTTAGAATAAGGTCAGGCAATTATTAAATTCACTTTGACACTACGAACTTCCAGATCTGTACAGCTAGCTTTGGATGGGATGTGCATGTCACTAGACTTGGGGATAAGGGAATTAAAGTCTAATCAGGCTGCACAGCAATCCGATGATTAATTCAGCGTAATAACTAGCAGGTGCAGAGCCTGTCATGTGCTGGGAGTCCTTCTACACCATGTCCAGCCACCACTAAACTACATCCAATGACACCGCCAGGATCTTAGCCTGTGTGAGAGGGAATCCTCAACTGAATCAAGGTAATTAAATGATTGGATTCATGCTAATTAACAACAATGGGGTTCAACTTTCTAATTATCCTTGCTCGCACAGCACTCTCTGTAGCCACCCCAAGTGCAAATAAAGCATTCCATCTGCTAGTAATTAGGCTTAATAATTTTAGACAATCGCTCAATGATTTACAATGCACATGCCTGATTACAGTCTAAATTTGTGCTGTGAAGAAATTAGATCATGAACTGATCATGGCTTGTACTCTTTGTTTATTGCGAATGCACAGCAGTCTTTTTCATTTTTTTTGTCACATGCGTGCGGCGTTTTTGTGCACAGCAGTAAAATAAGACCTTTGCGCCTCTTGTACACGTTCAGCATAATGGTTTTTCATTTGCTTAATCTGCAAATTAAATGGCGATTGAGACTAAATTGTTCGGTTCCTTGGCACAGGGACTGTCATCATCTAGTGAGCGCTTTCCTGCAGAGAGTCATTTGAACGAGACAGAGTGTCTGAACCGGGGCCACGGGCTGGGGACAGCAGAGCGGCGAGATCGGGGATGACTGCCTCTAGATCAAATGTGTGCGTGTTGAAGTGTGTGTGGCGGGCGACAAATGCCACCTAATGAAGGGATGTGGATAATGGTCCTCTTGGACGACCGGATGTGTTTCCAGTTTTCTGCCAGACGCTGGGGATGGAGAAAAGAAGTGATCATGGAGGAGGCTGGCTGAGCACATACACAAACACACACAGACACAAATCATCTCATCGCCGCATGGATAAAACACACCAAACCAATCTCTCTTGGCTCACAGAAGCAAACCAAGCATAAAATACCATCATAATTAAATTAAGCGTTTACTTTCGGAAACATCCTCTCACAATTAATTCAATCAGCAAGGTACATGATGCTACTGCCAGGGGAAGATTAGCAGGCTTAATTAACAGGGTATGAATGTTTAAAGAGTGAGAACATGTTTTAAGTGCATGTATACACACACAACAATGTTCAAACTAAATGAACTTGTAGGCACTAATTAATATTATGTCAGAGCTTTAAAAGATGTTCAGGCCAGATGACAGCACAGATGTGACATCTACACACAAAAGGAGTAAATTTAAATGCAAAAAAAAAAAAAAGAGAGAGAAAAGGAATCAAACAAAGTCATTTTAACAGGACTCCGATAAATGTATTAAAATAAAGATCTAAAATGTTTTATCTGGTGACTTTTAAAGTAAGATCTAATTCAAATATAAGTCAATTTTGGTAAGTGCTATTTTTTACTCAAGTAGAAACTGTCAAACCAATGAATTTATTGTCTCTATTTAGAATCTTTTAATCCACATGTGTCAAACTGAAGGCCTGGGGACCAAATCCGAATCCGGCCTGCCTCTAGTCTCTGGCACTTTGAGAAAAGCATTGATGTTGATGTGGCTCAAAATGAAAGTGAGTTTTCAAAAACAACAATTGAAGCTAAAAGTTTAAAAAAATCAAAAATTTAAAAGTAGATTTAATAAATGAAATGTCCTTTTGTCTTTTTAGGAGTACAACTGCAGTACATTTAAAATGAATAACAACAGATGTTATTAATAAACAATAATAATAAATAAAGAACTACCTAACAATCAATTATAAGTATATGACTATATTAGATGTCACGCTTATGGTGAGCTTGATGTCTCAAGTGTATCCCTAAACTAGCTTTTTCTGTTCTCTAATTTTTGATTTCTTTTGATTTCATCCAAAAAAAATTTGCAATATTTTTTTTTCTAGTTTCCGATGTTGAGGTAAAAAAAATAAAATAAAATAAAAAAATAAAAAAAAAAATATATATATATATATATATATATATATATATATATATAATCCCCCCCCTCGCCCCCGACGCGAGCGCGGGAGAGGGACCCCCACA